AAAAAAAGAAAACTTCAGGCCAATATCCATGATGAACATCAACACAAAAATCTTCAATAAAATACTGGCAAACAGAATGCAATAGCAAATCAAAAAGCTTATTCATGATGATCAAGTAGGCTTCATTCCAGGGATGCAAGGCTGGTTCAACATACTCAAGTCTATAAACATAATCCATCACATAAACAGAACCAAAGACAAAAACCACATGATTATCTCAATTGATGCAGAGAAGGCCTTTGACAAAATTCAACAGCACTTTATGCTAAAAACTCTCAATAAACTAGATGGAACATATCTCAAAATAATAAAAGCTATTTATGACAAACAGCCAATGTCATACTGAAAGGGCAAAAACTGGAAGCATTCCCTTTGAAATCTGCACTAGACAAGGGTGTCCTCTGTCACCACTCCTATTCAATATAGTATTGGAAGTTTTAGCCAGAGCAATCAGGCAAGAAAAAGAAATAAAGGGTATTCAATTAGGAAAGGAGAAAGTCAAATTGTCTCTATTTGCAGACAACATGATTGTATATTTAGAAGACCCCATCATCTCAGCCCAAAATCTCCTGAAACCAATAAGCAACTTCAGCAAAGTCTCAGGATACAAAATCAATGTGCAAAAATCACAAGCATTCCTAAACACCAATAACAGACTTAAAGACAGCCAAATCAAGAATGAACCGCCATTCACAATTGCTACAAAGAGAATAAAATACTACCTAGGAATACAACTAACAAAGGGTGTAAAGGACCTCTTCAGGGAGAACTACAAACCACTGCTCAATGAAATAAGGGAAGACACAAACAGATGGAAAAACATTCCATGCTTATGGTTGGGAAGAATCAACATTGTGAAAATAGCCATATTGCCAAAAGTAATTTATAGATTCAATGCTGTCCCCATCAATCTCCCAATGACCTTCTTCACAGACTTGGAAAAAACCACTTCAACTTTATATGGAACCAAAAGAGAGCCATATCGCCAAAACAATCCTAAGCAAAAAGAACAAAGCTGGAGGCATTGTGCTGCCTGACTTCAAACTATACTACAAGGCCACAGTAATCAATAGAGCATGGTACTGGTATCAAAACAGAGATATAGACCAATGGAACAGAACAGAGGCCTCAGAAGCAACACCACACATCTACAGTCATCTGAACTTTGACAAGCCTGAGAAAAACAATGGGGAAAGGAGTCCCTGTTTAATAAATGGTGTTGGAAAAACTGGCTAGCAATGTGCAGATAGTAGAAACTGGACCCCTTCCTGACACCTTACACTAAAATTAACTCCAGATGGATTAAAGATCTAAACATAAGACCTAACACCATAAAAATTCTAGAAGAAAATCTAGGCAAAATCATTCAGGACATAGGCACAGACAAGGACTTCATGGCTAAAACATCAAAAGCAATGGCAACAAAAGCCAAAGTAGACAAATGGGGTCTAATTAAACTCCAGAACTTCTGTACAGCAAATGAAACAATCAGAGCAAATCAGCAACCAACAGAATGGGAAAAATTTTTGCAATCTACCCATCTGACAAAGGGCTAATATCCACAATCTATAAAGAACTAAAACAGATTTACAAGGAAAAAACAAACAAGCATATTCAAAAGTGGGCAAAGGATATGAACAGACACTTTTCAAAAGAAGACATCTACGAAGCCAACGAACATATGAAAAAATGCTCATCATCACTGGTCATTAGAGAAATGCAAATCAAAACCACATTGAGATACCATCTCACACCAGTTAGAATGGTGATCAATAAAAAATCTGGAGACAACAGATGCTGGAGAGGATGTGGAGAAATAGGAACACTTTCACACTGTTGATGGGAGTGCAAGTCAATGCAACCACTGTGGAACACAGCGTGGCTATTCCTCAAGGACCTAGAAATAGAAACACCATTTGACCCAGCAATCCCATTACTGGGTATATACTCAAAGGATTATAAATTGTTCTATTATAAAGACACATGCACATGTATGTTCATAGCAGCACTGTTTACAATAGCAAAGACCTGGAAGCAACCCAAATGTCCATCAACAACAGACTGAATAAAGAAAATGTGGCACTTATACACCATGGAATACTACGCAGCTATAAAAAACGATGAGTTCGTGTCCTTCATAGGGACATGGATGAATCTGGAAGCCATCATTCTCAGCAAACTGTCACAGGAACAGAAAACCAAACACCACATGCTGTCACTCACAGGCGGCTGTTGAACAATTAGAGCATGTGGACACAGGGAGGGGAGCATCATACACTGTGGTCAGTTGGGGGGGACTAGGGGAGGGACAGTGGGGGTTGGGGAGCGATAATGTGGGGAGAAATATCAGATATAGGTGATGGGGGTAGGAAGCCAGGAAGGCAGCAAACCACCTTGCCATGCATGTACCTATGCAACAGTCCTGCATGCTCTGCACATGTACCCCAGAACCTAAAGCACAATTTAAAAAAATAATAAGGATTTTTTTCTTCTTAGCCTAACCAAAATGCCTTTATCATGCCTAAATATATAATTCTTTAATATCACTTATGATGGTTAGCTTAATATGTCAACTTGACTGGGTCACAGTATGTCCAGATATTTGGTCAAATGATACATTTCTGTGTGTGTGTGTGTGTGTGCGTGTGTGCGCGTGCACGTGTGTGTGTGTGCATGTGTGTGTGTGTGTGTTTCTTTTTTTTTTTTCTTTTGAGATAGAGTCTCACACTCTGTCACTCAGGCTGAAGTGCAGTGGCACCATCTCGGCTCACTGCAGCCTCCACCTCCTGGGTTCAAGCAATTCTCCTGCCTCAGCCTTCCAAGTAGCTGGGATTACAGGCATGTGCCACCATATCTGGCTAATGGTTTGTATTTTTAGTAGAGATGGTGTTTCATCATGTTAGCCAGGCTGGTCTTAAACTCCTGACCTCATGATCTGCATGCCTCAGCCTCCCAAAGTGCCGGGATTACAGGTGTAGGCCACCATGCCTTGCCTTCAGCAGAATGAGTAAAGCAAATTGACTTCTCTAGTGAGGGTGGGTCTCAGCCAATCTGCTGAAGGCCTGAATTCAACAGGCCGACAGTTCCCAAAGTAAGAGAGAATTCCTTCTGCCTGATGGCATTCAAACTGGAACACTGGCTTCTTTTTCTGCCTTCAGACTTGAACTGAAAGGCTCTTCCTGGGTCTCAGGTCTTCGGGCCTTTGGACTAGAACTACAGCTTTGGCTCTATGGTTTCAGGCTCTCAGACTTGAAGTAGAACTACACTGTTAGCTCTCCTGAGTCTGCAGCTTGCTGACTCACCCTGCAGATCTTGGTACCCACCTATCTCTGTAACTGAATGAGGTAACTCCTTACAATAAATCTATCTTTCTTTCTTTTTTTTTCCCCATTTATTTATTTTATTGCATTTTAGGTTTTGGGGTACATGTGAAGAACATGCAAAATTGTTGCATAGGAACACACGTGGCAGTGTGATTTGCTGCCTTCTTCCCCATCACCTAC